TGCACGTGGATGTGGATCATGGAATGGAGGCACGCAGCACTCACACATACACGCGCGCGCACACGCACACACAGCGCACACTCACAGCGCACACGCAAACCGGGCGGTGCCCCATCAGGCCCTGGACCCGCCCGTGGCGCCAGACCTAGGGTCCCGGAGGCTCGGGTCCTGGAGGCCCGGAGGCCCGGCGGTCCTGGGGGCTCGGGCCCTCTCGGGCCCCTCGGGCCGCGCCGCCAGACCGCCGCGCCGCCACGCCTGTCCGGCCGGCCACCCCACGGTCCAGCTCGCCGGCTCGCCTCCCTGCGCGGCGGCACCTTTACTTCTCCAGCCTCCAGCCATGCTCCAGCCGCTCCGGACCACCGCCTCGGGCGCGCCCGGACTGATTCCGAGAGTCGTTTTATCGCTCTGCCTCGCACTCATCGGGCGTCCCCCATAGGTGCGAGCGAGGCAGAGCCACGAAGACGACTCGGTCTGCAGCCGCTGCAGCGCCGGGCCAGTAACGATTCCAGCTGTCGAACCGTTCCAAGTTCCAGCCGCACTGCGTACTGGAGTTTGCTTTTCGTTCCAGACTCCGCAGTGCGTGGCCGCGGTGGACGCTAGGCTGTGGCGTAAAGGCAGCATGCGACACGCGAAGGCCGCCCTGGACCGCGCTCGGCGCGGCCTCGGCTCGGCAACCGGACCCGGCTCGACTCGGTTCGGCTCGACTCGGCTGCCCCATTCGACCCCTAGGCCCTGTGCCAGCATGGAGACAGGGTGGGGGCAGCAGGGTGAAGGGACGTATCGACCTGTACCCCACTGCCCCCACCCTCCCTCTCAGACTCCCTCCCACCCGCTCTGTCACCACGCCGACCCCGGCCGACCCGCCAGTACACTGTCATCTCGCGCCCGAATTCAGCCAATCCCACAGCCGAAAAGCAAGTCCGCACGGTCGGCCCCTTTTTGTTTTCGCCCGCTCTAGGTGCGGGTACGGCCTGCAGGTGATTCCGAGAGTCGTTTTCGTCGCTCTGTCTCTCTCGCACCTATACGGGACGCCCCATGAGTGCGAGAGAGACGGAGCGACGAAAACGACTTTCGGAATCAACCTGCAGGCCGATAGAGTGGCAGGCAGGGGCACTCCGCGCAGCCACGCCCTTCGCGCCGACAGAGACAGACAGAGAGAGACAGAGAACGGGTGAGAGGGCGACCTGCTGATTATACAGTGTGCAGCTGCCCTGCTGAGCAGCATGCTGACTCACGGTGGTCTTCTTCTTCTGCTTGCTCTTGTTCTTCTTACCCCTGTTCTTCTTGCCCCTGTTCCTATCACTCGTCTTGTTCTTGTTAACTTGCTCTTGTTCTTCTTACCCCTGTTCTTATCGTTCGTTTTGCTCTTGTTTACTTCCTGTCCATCGTAAGTCTTCTTCTTTGTCAACTTTAATGTTCCTCTTGTTCCCGTTCCGCTTGTTCCTATGTGTTCCTAGTGTGTTCCCCTTTTTACTATTTCTCTTGCTCTTGTTCTTCTTTCCCCTGTTATTCTTGCTCTTGTTTCTTACTGCCCCTGCTTTTTCTATTGCCGATCCACGATTCCACTCTACTCCCTGTTCTATCGGTCGTTGCTCTCATTGCTCTATTCCAATTCCTCTACTCCCCTTCTTGATCATCTTGTTCCTCTTCTTGTTTCTCCTGCTGCTGCACTGAGCCTCCCTCTCCCTCGCAGTGATTAGCGCGGTCTGCCAAAACGTGTCGGTCAAGGCCACCCCGCAAGGTCATCCATTCTGCAGCCCTAACGACCTTGAGGACGGTTAAACAAACACGGTCATCCATCCGCCCACGGGTTCTGCTCGCTCCATTTGGCGAAGGACTGCAGTCATTAGTCACTGCGGGCATGAATGACTGAGTCTACTACAGCAGGCATGAATGGGATCCTTTTCCACCATGCGCAACCGAAAAAAGTCACGCAAGAAATTTTCTAAAAAAGGACTGAGTTCTTACTTTCTGATTTGAAAGACATTTTTGGCATGTGAGCAGGTGGTTGGGGCTTAGCCCTACTTTCAGGTCGACCACCAGTCTGGGGATGGAAAGGAGATCTAGGGGGACTTATTAGTTATCAGCTTGTTCAAAACTCAATTCGTTACAGGATAAATGAGTTGATCAACCACATTGACTTCAAAGTACGTCAACAACAGCTGTTTGTCACAACTCAACTTTCCAAACTTTTGGTTGTTTCAGATTCAAACTTCGACTTACAAGCCCGATCTCTTAGTTCCTTCCAGCGTCACAAGGGTTCGGACTCTTTGATGGCAGTTCGTGCGTAGAGATCACTAGAAAACGCTCAATGCCACACCACCTCGACCAACTGTGGGTAGGGAAGATGTGGAGGCAAAACAACAAGAAACGTGCGAATCTCGCCCGTTTTAGACATAAATCAATGTCATACCGAAGCTGAAAACTAAAGTGTGTACTCATTACACACTAAGGTGCTCTGTAGTACTCAGTACACTCTTAAATTTTCAGTGATATTTGATTCATTTCAAGGAAATCATTTGAGATTCGATTAAATTCGAGATTGGAAAAGCGCCGCTTCGATCGTCACCACACTGGGCCAACCACCGCAGCCCGGTCACGCGGCTGTCCGTTGGGTTGCCGACCCCGACGCGCCAGCAGCGCCTGGACTGGGCGGGTGGCAACTCCGGGAAGGGACCAAGGGACGGCACCTTCCGGCCGTCCGTTCGTCCGGCGGCTCCGGGCCTTACCTCTGGTGTCGCGCCGCCTTGCTGCGCCTCGCGCCGCCTTGGGTGGCGGCCCTGCCTGCGCGCTATTAAAACGGCCCTGGGGGCGTGGCGCCGCGGGGCGGGCCGCACACCTCCCCGGAGGAAGCTAATGTATTTCGGCGCGGAAATGTATTCGGCGAGCGCTAAGCCGGCAGCGCCTCCTCACTTAATCCCCAGTTGTTTATCACCATTTTTTTTTGGCGTGTAGTGACGTCCAGCCAGTCACACCTCATTATGCAGGCAGGCCCGTGGCAGCCCCGGGCCAAACAGTGCAGGGGACACGAGCCCAATGCCATACAGAACCGGCCTTAATTTCAGTGGACACTGCCAAACATTTTGGGATGCGCGGCTGGCGTCGAGCGAAGCGTGTGGTAGGTACAAACTTCGATCATTTTCACTCCTAAAAGTCTTACGAAAAAAAAACCTAAGAATACAAAAAAAATTGTGCATATGAGGCCTTTTTTTTCAAGTAATACGAAGCAATTTCTTTGGAACATAGTGATATAAACAGCTCTGGGGATCGTAAACTGTTTGCAGAAATCTCTTCGTACGCCGCTGCCAAATTCACTTCAAGAACTTTTGAGTTGTTTTTTGAATCGTCTGTGACTGGGCTGGGCGGCGACTGTCCCCTTTCATTAATGTTTGTTTTTTGGGCTGTCCGTTTTTCCCGGTTGGCGCGTCTTTCCGCCCGTCCGTCCGGACTATCGCCCTCTTGACAAGTGAGACTACCTTCGTTTCCCCTGACGAGTGTTGCGAAGGGCTGAATGGGTGGAGCGGGCACTCCGCCCTTCGGAGGGTTTGTTGCGCCACCTACGCTGTATAATGACCACCCTTTGGACAGCCTGGCGTGGCCCAGCGCGGCCCGGCGCGGCGTGGCGGTGCCGAGAAGGGTTCCCGCCCGCCCGGCTCGTTTTGGGGGAAAGATATGAATGGAAAGTCCGCGCGGCGCCACGGCGCCACCAAGGCACGCCGCGCGGGGGGCGTCGTTCACCTTGGCCCTGAGCCCCACGTCCTTCCACACTGTTAGAGTTTCCGCACTTTGGTACGCAAAGTGAGCAGAATTTTGGGTAAGGAATGTACGGAACTTCCTGACAATAGTTCTCCGTCGTACGAACCCTCGTCTGTATAAGGATCGCACTGAAACACAGTGATCAATTATTGGCTTCGTGATTATTCGTGCTTCTTTCGACTCACTCTGTGGGTTCAAACAGGATTGATCAAATTTTTTTATCAGATCACCAATGAAGTGAGTTCAATCCAATCTATTAACGTGTTACTTTCAGTACTTTTGACTTTATCGTAAAGAGGAAGGTATTGGGCACTCTATCTGTCAAAGTGAAATTTCTTATTGCTCGGAAAATCGAACAAATTTTAGGCGACGTTCCTTAAGTAATTTTATCTTCTTCCATCAAAGTCTCCCCTTCCACCCCTCCTTCCCTGTTAACGTGGATTAAGTTATGCCCCTACACCAAAAAGCTTCAGTGTAGCTGAGCCTTGTTTCAGAAAAAGCGCCTTTCAGCGGCCAGGAGACGCCTGGACGAAAATCTGAATTCCATTTTTAAACTGTCGCCGTGAGACAAGGTGCCTCGGGTCCTGGCGGCAGACTGTCGTGTGGTTCACACGAGCGGGTGTGCCACTCTGTCTCTCTCGCGCCCTTGCGAGGCGCCCCGTGGGTGCGACAGAGACAGAGCTCAGGGCGGACGAGGAAGCCTTTCCGAATCACGTGCGACAACCTTGTCACCGGCAGAGGGCAAAGAACGGTGTGGCGGCCGGTAGGGCCGGGCATTCATGCCGGGCGGGCTGGCGGCAAGGTGACGCAGACGCCGCGCCGCAAGGACGCGGCGGACGAGGGGGGGAAGTCCCGGCCCAGGGTGGGGGGAGACACGGGGGCGGCGCGGGGGACGCCGGTGGGTGGGGGAGGAGCGCCCGGCGGCGGAACGCGCTCCGATTGGTCGAGCGGCGGCGGCCAATGGCAGCGGCTGCCGTCGACCAATGAGAGCGCGGCCGGCACGCTGCCGCGACAGGCAAGTGGCGCTCCCCGCGGCGGCGCGCGCAAGCAGGCGACGGTGGCGCAGCGCTCGGCCGCCGCGCGAACTCAATCCGACTAAAAACTGCTTCCACTTACATGATTATCATTAACGACAGTGCTCGGGCGAGGGGAGGCCGTACCGCGCCGCTCCGTGGCGAACCTCACCGTGCCGTCCGAAGCCTCCGTGCCGAGTCCGCCGCGCGCCGCTCCGAGCCGCAGCGCAGCGAGCCTGCAGCGTGCCTGCAGCGTGCCTGGCCGCCAGCCGCGCGCGAGTGTGTTCCTGCAGCATGCGGCATGCATGAGTGAAGTGAAGTGCGAGTGCCTGGATACGTGTGTGCAGTGCAGTGCAGTGATGTGGCCGAGGTGGTGAGCGAGGGCCCCAAGTCCATCCCGCCCTCCCCAGGGCCGGCGCGCCCTGCCACCGGCACACTGAATTTCTCGGACATCGGCAGCCCGTTCGGAGCGGGTAGCTCTAGCGGCGGCGGCGGCGGCTCCAACACGCCGACACCGACCCCCTTGGGGGCGCCGCTCATGGGCACCGGCGAGGGGCTGGACGGGCCCCCGCCTGGGCCGCAGCCCCAGCACCCTCACATGCTGGGGCTCGGGCCGGCCACCCCTCACGACGGCTCGCCGCAGCACCCCAACAAGTCCGCCTTCATCGAGCTGCAGCAGCATGGCGTCCCCGGCGGGCCCGTGGGGCCCTACAACCCGGCCCTGCGGTATCACCCGCACTCGCACCCCTTCCAGCACCAGGGCATGGGCTCCCCCGGGGGCGGCGGCGGACCCCCTCACCACCCCCACCACCCCCACGAGACGCCACCGCCCTTTGTGTCGTCGCCCAGGTCGGCGTTGTCGGCCTACCCCTTTCCCCCCATGCACCAGAACTCGTACCCGGGATACCACCTGGGTTCCTATGCCCCCCAGTGCCCGTCGCCCGGGAAGGACGACCTCGACGGCACGTACCTGGACGGTACGTTGTGTGTGTTTATTCTAGTGGTGTGAGTGGGTATGTGTCAAGTGCCAAGTGATCAAGTGCAGTGCCGTGCTGGAAAAAAGTGCCACCATTGGATTACGTGCGTCAGCGTGTGTGTTTGTGTCATCAGTTCAACGGTAACGCCTGCAAATTCATTGTGCCAGCCGACGTGAGTCGTGGAGACAGTGCCACAGTGTCGAACCGAGAAGTCCGTAGCCTCAAACCACCAGGGAGCACTCTGTGGAAAGGGTCACCGGGAAAGCGCCGAGCTTGAACCAAACATTTTGACTTCAGAAAATGTTAATATTGTACCCAAGCAGCTGGCACATGATTGTTTACTTCCGAAAGAGTGTGACATTGTACCCAGGAATGCTCACGTCAATGTGCAGAGAATTGGCAATGGCAAGTCAAAGTCGTTATAAAAATACAAAGGCCGAAGGCCATTGACTAGAGTTATTCTGATGACGAACTCACTTTTTTGGTTGTAACGTGGTTCTCATACAAGCACCCTGAAAAGTAAATTGACTTTCTAAGGAAGACGAAACTAGATAACTTGCGTCTCTGAATTGCGCCTTTTGGCTGAAAACTTACTGGGAACCGGAAAACGTCACCCTGTCGTCAAAATAACATTGTCACTTGTGCCGTTTCGCGTTCTTGGAGCTTGCTGAAACGTCTGAATTTTTCAAAGGGCAAAATGTTTGGTTCAATGAGACTAGAGGGAAACCATGGTGGAAACTATTACAGCTTGCGGGGACAAATTTTGTCCGCTTCAATTTAGTTCATTTGACTGCATTCTCGCGCCCGAAACATTGTGTCAGGTGCGTGGCTAGGACTCTGGCAGAGGTGTGGACGCCGACGCGGCGGTCCGCAAACTACACAGATGGACACAGCGTAATCTCTGCACCATCCAAAGCGAGCGGGAACACGCGATGTCGCGAGCTTCCGAAGTAATAAAAAGGTAAAAACGAGCCGAGAAAAACGCGCGGCTCGTCAGTTAGTTACACGCAGTCTCGTTATCGGGTGCAGAGAACCCGGCGCGACGTATTGTGACGCTATGCCCGTTGTCTGTCGACGTCTATTTTAGTCCTTTTTTCGGATGCAGGCTTACTGACAAAAAGTGTGCTTGTGTCCTTTGAGCTGCTCTTGGCCGAGCTTCAGAAAATTAAATTATTGTCACAAACAATACGCAAGGCCCTCGGCTATCGGCAGGAGCCACTCTTTGACCAAGTCTCCGCTTTTGGGGGCGTGTCTCCGGTCAAGCGATACAATGCGCACGGTTTTCTCCGGTGGCGTCAAAATTTTTGACGTTTTTTTTTTTCGGATTTACCGGACTAATCGTCACGGGCATCGGGTCCGGCCGTGCGCACGCGGCAGGGCCGTTTTGTCCGCCGTTGTTGCCGACAAATGGACACGGATATTCGGACACTCCCAGTCGGCATGATTTATCCTCGGGGCCCACGCGACTGGCTGCAACCCTCCAGGGACACACCCCGGCGCGCCGGCCCCGCCGGCCCCGCCCCCGAAGTGCCCCAAGGGCTTGAAGCGTCAAGGGCCCGAAGTCAGCCAGAGACCCGACAGCCGAAAGGGTTAAGGGGCGTGCTGGAACCGCCGGCGTCGCAATGTAACACTGTGTAACCGTCCCAGTGCGGTACAGTGTACACCGTTGTTGGGCGTTACAATGTCCCAGTGCGTGGATCGGTGGTTGGCCGCGGATTCGAAGCCGGAGGGTGGCAAAACAATGGCCGGCGGGGCGCGATGGCCGCGGGGACGTCCCGCGCGTCGTCCGCAGCGCGACATCCGATTACATGACGTTGTAGCCCGTGTCCGAAACCGAACCGAACCGAAGCCGCCGTGGGTCGAAGCCGGAGACCTGAACAGTGGGCGTTTCGTAAATCGCGGTGAGCGGGGAGAGAGAGCTACAAGTGTCTCGCGCGATGGAACTTTGGGGAAACTTTGTCTTGCTGTTTGTTTTCTCGTCGTCACGCCAACCGCTTGCGAGATCTGGTAACTCAGAACGGAGACAGTTGTAAAGTCACCGAATACGAAGGTGTGCGAGAATAAGATGACGAATACGAGGAGCTTTTCCACTGTTTCCAACTGACCGTAACCAGCGCAACTGTCTAAAAAACAAGAATCGAAACTTTTGGAAAAATTTTCGGGACTGTACTGTTTGGTCTTGTGACAACGCTGGATCGAGCATTTTTGGAACGCTGTAGCTTCGTGGCCGCGCTGACGCGAGCTCATGTCATTAGGTACTCGCCGGAAGGTATCGGGAAACGGGGTGAGGCAGGTCGTGGGGTGAGCGGCTCCATTTTCAATTTATCACGAGGATGTTTGCGCTGCCCCCGCGTGGCTTGCCTGGCTTGCCGCGTGGCGCTTGAGCAACACACTTATTGGAAATTTATCGGGGTAATTAACCAAGCGTGCAAAGCGCGTGCATGGTCAGGCAGCGTCCGTTGGCGTTTGGCGACGCGAAAAAAGTATCCGTAAGCAGGAATTTTACAACGAACTGAGCAGATACCTTTTGTCTAGTCTTTGTTTTTTGATACTGTGGGTTTTGAGTAAGCGCGAGTTTTCGTGTCAGGCGTAGGACGTAGAGTCTCAGGGAGAACAGAGAAGTAAGAATACGATCAGAATTTTGTCAATATGTTCTAGAAATGGTCCATCCTAGTCAAAATTGGAGCCATAACATGTATCTGAATTTGACTACTCTGTTCTCCCATGGGCTTTACTCTAAATCGGAGATTTCCGAATGCTCAAAATTAACCGGCAATGTCAAACTGTTAGTTAATAGCACGTCTCGGAACGGTTTATCGTAGTAGTAGTGTCTAGACTCTACACTGTTCGAAGTCCCTTCCCCTTTTCCGCAAAATGGCGTCTGGCGCGCGGGGAGGCCTGGGGCATTGTGGGTGTGGAGGCGACGATAAACATCAAATAAACAAGCAATGCGACTGTACGCGGAGATTTTGATTTACTGCAGTGTGCACCCAGAAAATTGTTACTTCATTGAAACCAAGAAAAGCCATTGTTGTGTTTGTTTTAAAAAGGAAAAACACGTGTGAATCAATGTCCTAATTGACATCATGTCGAGTCAATCCTTTCGCAGTGATTCAAAGAAAGCGTTTTCTGGGTGTGAGGGTCGGTCGTGAGTACAAAGACGTCGAGTGGCGACCCTTCGCCAAACGGTGTGGAGGAAATTCGAAAATGATGGAGTGGTCCACAGACGTCCGCACGCGTGCCGCGCCCCTTGCACGCTTCCCCCGAAACATGCCAAACCCCGACAGGCCTGTCGGGGTGCGCGTCCCTTCGCCAACAAGTAGCAGTGTCGGGGACCTCAAACAGAGTTACCAAATTGATAAACCGAAATTGCCCTCTCGTGCCACTGCGTATGTGTTTGCGTTGTGTGTGTGTGTGTGTCGGCACTGACCTTCCCGCCGAGCCCATCCCAGGGCCGGCAACGCGGCAACGTTAAAACAGTTAATTAAGTTAAGCCCGGTTGGCACCCCTGGTCGCTCTGCGGCGCTGCTGTAATGAACCCATTCATCTCAATCGCGGGGGAGAAGAAAAACACTCGGAAAAACAACAACAACAACATGACGGATTGCGGCGTGAAATATCGGGCGATTCAACCCACACGCCGGAATGTGTGTTTGGCCGCCCGGGTCACCCGCAGCGGCAGGGAATTGGGTCCCAGTTTAAAACGAACGTCCTCGATGTTGTTGTTGCTGTTGTTGTTGTTGGGCCCTTGGTGGTACTGCAGGCCAGCCCTGCAGAGCCCTGCAAGGCCCTGCACTGCCCTGCGTGCCGAGGGCCCTTTCAGCGCGTTCGGGGCGCAACACGAAGGGCGCGGCCCGACCCTTGGCGGGCCCTTGGTTGGCCCTCCGTTGGCCCTTGGCCCTTGCGGACATGGCGGTTAATTCCCATGACGGTCCCTGAAATATAGACGAGGCGTTTGCGTGGCGCGGAGGGCTGCCCGTGCGTGAGGGGTTGTGCGTCTGTGTGGGTGAGCGTCTGTGTGTGCGTTAGGAGCGTGTAGGTGGGAGAATGTATGTGTGAGTTAGTGTGTGAGTGAGTGCGTGTCAGTGTGCGTGAGTGTGTGTGACTTAGTGAGCAAGTATCTCTCTCTGTAGGTGTGCCTGCGTGCGTGAGTGTATGTGACTTAGCGAACAAGTATTTCTCTCTGTAGGTGTGTCTGTGTAGACGAGCAAAGTGCCTGTATGTGCGGGAATATGTGTGTCTGTGTGGGTTTGTGTGTATGTATGTGTGTGTGCGTGTGTGCGTGCTGTTGGAGTGTGATGATGTCCGTGTGGCCCGCAAAAAAGGCGGCAAAATTAAAATACAAAAGGTATATCGGTTGAAAACGTTGAAACGGCGACTGGTTTGGGCTGTCGTCTTCTTATTCCATCGCTACGTGAGCTTTTTTTTTTCGTTTGTCGGTACGCGTGCATGTGCGTAGCCAGCCAGCCAGCCTGTCTGTGCGTCCGGAGGCACTCCTATGCCACCCCCGCGTTGCCCGCGGAAGTCTCACTCCGAGACCATTCAACGTGACGGTCGTCGGAAGCCCCCCTCCCCCAAGCCCTTTCCCCCTCCCCCGGGGCCAGCCGCGTCCACACGTCTCACAGCAATTTGTGCTAATTTGTGCAACACATTTAGCACGGTTTTGTTTGTGCTCGTCATGATTCGACCCACAGGGGAGGTGTGAGTGCGTCCGCACGCGTGTGTGCGTACGCGTCGTACGTGTGTGTGTGTGTGTGTGTGTGTGTGTGTGTGTGTTTGTGTGTATGCCTCTATGTCTGTGCGACGTGCATGTTTATCCATGTTTCTATGAAGTATGATTGAGTCCACGTGCGTGTATATGTTCGCGAGTGCACGGAGGAGTGCGTTTTTTCGGCGCCTGGCTTGGGTGGCCGAACGAGAGGTGTTTATCCGCGAGGCGATCTAGAGTCCCCCTTTTCCGAGTCCGTTTTTCCGGCGGTGTATTTTGTGCATTCCCTCTGTCGGTGTGGCGGTCGGCATCGGGGCGCGGCCAGCCGCCGGGCCAGCCCGCCAGCCCCGCCACGCTGACTTGGGCTTTTAATTGTAGAACAAGAAGCCCCCGAGGGAGCGCTCGAACGCGCGCCGAGTGTTTCTTTGTGTCCTTGTGGGTTTTGTGTGTCGCTCTGCCTCTCTCGCACTCACGGGCCGGCCCGGACGGGTGCGAGTGAGACAGAGCTATCCAGTTCGGAAGCAGCATACCATAGGCAGAAGGGCTCTAGAGAGGAACCACAGGAAGGGGGTGGGAGACTTCTGGATCGCAAAGTGCTCATGCATACTGCCCCTGGATGACTGGTGGTAGTGCCCGCAGTGCCCGCAGTGCTACATGTAGATTAGTGTGGCTTCCGGTGGGTGCACTGGTATCGCGGCATGACGCGGCATCTGCCACGGTGTTACAAATCAATGCCAGAAACCAACACGCTTTTCACGCCCGCCCCTTCTTGTCAGGGGCCGTGACGGCGGGCGGGCGTACAGTCGGCCAGAGAAATCGAACCGAATCAAAGATCGATTTTTCGGTGATGTTGGCGACCGCCTTGCGGAATCATCCCGAGACATGTAAACAAACAGAGCGGCGGCGAGATGCGCGCCTTGATAACCCAATTTGTCCAGTGGCGGGTTCGCACGACGGGCGAGGCATGGCGAGGCATGGCCCAGCCCTACGGAATTAGGACGTCCGTGTCGGGTGTCTTGTGCGCGGCCGGCGTGGCGGGCGGAGTGGGGTGGGGCGGTCCCGGGGTCATTCATGGGTGAAATAGGGCGACACACGATCTGGTCCCGATTGTTAAGCGCAGGACTCATACATCCCGTTCCGCCCCCGGCCGGCCGCCGCGCCGCCGCCTGCTTGGAGGCCTGCAAGCCGCCGCGTCGGATAGACATGTCATGTATCGGCAGTTGGGCTAGGTCGGCGATACGGCAAGCAGCCGCTACCGTCGCTCTGTCTCTGTCGCGCTCGTGAGAGGACTTCCTAACATCCAAAGCGCCCAAGGGCTGAGCTGTTGTTGAATCGTCTCTGAAGACGGAGCTGTTATTGAATCGTTTATGAAGACTAAGATGTTATTGAAACACCTCTGAGAGGACTTCCTCACGTCCAAAGCGTTCAAAGAGGCTGAGCTGATGGCTGAGCAGTTATTAAAACACCTCGAGAGTAAACTGATCTTCCTATAGGTTATCGAGTGGCGCCAGACAGAGTTTAAATTAGTGTGCAGGATGGTGGTGGCTCTCGTTGGTAGATGTTTGCAGTCGAGGTGGCGTTCACAGCACTGACGGGTGACGACACTGGCGAAAAAAAAATTGATGCTCTCGGACTGATTGTGTATGCAGTCTCACGGAATGCTGTGCACATGAATTTGTATGGCAATGCCAAAGAAATGGTATGGCTAAACCCATGACGCTCAAATAATCTTGTGAAATCTACAAACATTTAGTGAGTTGATTTACTGTGCGAAATATGGCAAAACGGGACGAAACCGTAATCAAAATTTTCAATTTATTACTGTGTGGAAAACAATCACTTTTTCCCTGGCAAAAAAAACTTGGCACTGTATGAATGTGTGTGTAACACAGCACCCAGCAAAAATGATCCAAAGCCTTTGATACAGTCAGGAATATGTTCCTGGCCTCAAAGACTTTAAAGTTTCCAGTTAACGAGTCAAATAGTTTGAACCAAAATCTACGATGCATAATTCATTTTACAACTTGCCACTTAACTATTTTCAGAGCAATTAGTCTTGTTTGTGATATGCACGTGGTAAAAAGCGGAATGTAGTGATTGGAAACTTGAATGTAGTTTTTTCTCGGGTGGTGTTGGTGGTGGTGTCCGAAAAATCATAATAGGTGTTTCCATGTTGGCCTGCCCGCATTGCGTGTGGTGGGGAGGCAGCGTGGAACAAAACGGAGCACAGGCTCATTGCGGGCGACACGTCTCGACGGGAGTAACACTGCACGTCAGCTGTCGCTCTCGAACTTGCCGGGCGTCCCGCGGGGCCGCGCGAGAGGCTGAGCGACGAGGCACTGTCAGACTTACGCGGCACAGTGGGCCAGATGACCGGTAGAGGCGGCCACAATCCCGGACGGGTTTTGAGCTCCAGAGTCGCTAAATTAGACTCGAACCGAACGTGTGACCCCACCAATGGATTGCTCTCCCAACAAGGAATTCATTGCTGGGGTCAAAAGTTCGGTTCAAGTCAGGTTTAGCGACTCTAAAGCTCAAAACGCGTCTACAATTTAGGCCGCTTGCACCGGTCTTCTGGCACACTGAGCGCGGCTGTGTGCGTGTCCTACCCTCTCGCTTGTGTGCTAATCTGCGCCCTCGCAGACGCCGCGCTCAATGGCTTCATTGTCCACGGTGCGCTGCGTGGCGGGCTGCCAGGCTGGCTGCCAGCTTGCCAGGGGTGACCCACATTTCGGACCATTATTATTGGTCGCTGAGCATAAATCGCCCCGTTTTGTTTCTTCGCTGCACACTGAATGCTCGTGGACTTTTTGTACATAACTTTTGCTGCATTCGTGCTGGTATTAGTAATGCACAAATTTGTACATAAATTCCTAGGTACAATTGTCAAAATTTATGTCTAATTTATGCATTAAATTAAACTGGGTAGCTTACAAATGCACAAATATGGTTATAGTTATGAAAAACGAAAGTACAAAAGCATTAAGTGTGTGCTCTACATCGTGCGTGGAATGTGTGCTCTGAGAAAATTTGTTGTCACTTCATGACGGATTCAGATGACAATTTTTTATGACTTTCACTGCAAAAGCAGTTCCTGGCACTTTCAGGCCCACCCTGGAATAAGGGGCCTATTTTCTAGGAGTCGCCTCGGAATCCCAGGTTTTGCTATTGCCATGTGAAATTGATGACAATGTCAAAGCAAATTGATGGCGGTATCAAAGTTCCTACTCTTATTACATAGGTGTGACACCAATATCATCAACTCTGTTTTGTTGACAATCAAGTGAGGGAAATTGACCCTGAAATGGTCATGAAGTGACAACCTAAATTTGGACAGTGGGGGCGCCATTCTGACTCTGTGCTGTCCCTTGCAGATAAATGCCTAGACGACGGCGGACTTCGAGTCAACGGGAAGGGCAAAAAGATGAGAAAGCCCCGGACTATCTATTCCTCACTCCAGCTCCAGCAGCTCAACAGGCGCTTCCAACGGACGCAGTACCTGGCCTTACCGGAGCGGGCGGAGTTAGCAGCATCTCTTGGACTAACACAAACTCAGGTGAGTGTCGATTCCGCTTTTCGGGCAGCCCAGTCACCGCCGCACAGTCGGGCAGTTGAGCTCCAGAGTCGCTAAAACAAAACCAGAACCGAGTGTGACCCAACCAATGGATTCCTCGTTCGGAGAGCTATTCATTTGTGGGGTCACACGTTCGCCTGGTCTTGTTAGGCGACTCTGGTGCTCAAAACGCGTCCGGGATTTTGACCGCCTCCACTGGTCTTTAGGCTTTGGCCCACTAGGCGCCATGGCGTCCGCGCGGCTGGGTCCCGTTCCCAGTGTAGGCAACCTGCGTGGCGCGAGTCCGTTTGTTACTGCAGGATGGGAGGAGCCGAAAGGTAGGGGGTGGCGCCCCCGGCTCCAAGCCCTGCCAGCCCTGCCTGGCTAGAGCCGCCAGAGCTGCCGGGCTGGCGGGCGGTCAGCGGGAAGGCGGGCAAATCGATTGCATATCAGATCAGAGTCCAGCCAGCACTACACCGTAACGTCCCGTCGAAAAATGGTTCCATTGCCGCATTTGCATAGCACCCCTCGACGGTACACTGCGAAAAAGGAAGCAGGGAGGTGTGTGCCCAGGCCTGGCGGAGGAAATTTGAAAGACTGCTTGGCAGAGTACGCGGGTGGAAATCACCCACCGAAACGGGGGCCTTAGTAAGTGCTAGTGGTCATTCCATCGCAACGCAGGAATGCGCGGCCCACGTCAACAACACCCACAACAACAACAACAATGTGTGTGGCAAGTAATGGATTCGCGATTAATACCGCCCCTTTTCCCGGAATCTCGCCTCGCTTTGCCGGAAAGTTCCGCCAGGCTGACTCCGCGGGTTCGACTCCCGGCCGGTCTCGCTCAGTTATGCCGGCTCTTTTTATTGAAGGCTTGTATCTCAGCGGTGGTCGAATCTCTTGTTTACTGCGTCCGTTTTCTCACAAATTCCGCCACCGTTCTTCCCACATTCTCATACATAGTCCTCCGCGAACGGCTAGCGCGCAGCGTGTGCTGTCTCTGTCGCGCTCGCTCTCTCTGGGCGTCGCGGGGCGTCGCTGCCGAGTGTGCGAGAGAGACACTGTCGTGAGTCACTGCCTATTGGCAGTCGTGACGGAGTGACAATAACGACCAAGGGGCTATCGGCAGTAGCGCCAAGCGATCACTCTCGCCGCGTTGGCCGAGCATAAATCCATCGGGGAAAAAGAAGAATCAGAGCAAAAGGGAAAAAGCCTGGGGAAAAAATCGCACGAATGCCTTCGGGTAAAACAGGTTGAAGAATCTGCCTCTCGCCGTCTCGCTGCAGGTTCATACACTAGCGAGCTGCCGCACCGTGCGATTTCTTTCCCTTTTTATTTGAGATTGCTACTGGCGTTTTTAGAGTGTAGCAACCACCGCGGCGGGCGCTGTGTCGTCACCCCGGCAGACACCCCATTCGGTCCGGTCGGCCGGTCGGTGGGTCCGCCCCCCGGGTGGCCCGTCAGGACGGGGCCTGCCGTACAGTGGGCTGGAAGACCAGCGGTCAAACGCGTTTTGATCTCCTGAGTCGCTAAATAGGACTCGAACCGAACGTGACCCCACCACCAAGGGGCTCCTCGTTCGGAGAGCAATCCATTGGTGGGGTCACACGTTCGGTTCAAGTCCTGCTTAGCGACTCTGGAGCTCAAAACGTGTCCGGGATTTTGGCTGCCTCCACCGATCTTCTGGCCCACTGTGCGAGGACCGACTGGAGTGTCTTGCGATGCGCCGCCGTATTTGTTTCAAGCCAAGAGTTATGGCGACACTGTACGCCACGCCCCGCGTTTAAGCCCCTCTGTCGGGTACCTCTGTCGGGTACCACACTCGCTTGTCCGGTACAGTTACGCTGGACATGTAATTGATGCTACCGGCGCCTGTGTTATTTTTACGACTTTGCGTTACGATTATGGCCGAAGTTGGTAGGACGGGCTGCCGGTGGTCAGGGGTCTCTACCCCCCCCCCCCCTCCCCCTGCCTGTCTCACTGTGGAAAAATCGCGTGTCAGGCGCGGTGCCCGAAGGTGTCTTTTGCACCGTGTCCTCTCTGTATCCCTCGCTTTCGTACGGGACGCACAGCGGGCTAGAATAGCGGAGGAGGCGGTCAAAATTTGAGACGCGTCTTGAGTTCCACAGTCGCTGAACAGGGCTCGAACCAAGCGTGTGACCCTACCATTGGATTCCTCTCCGAACGAGGAATCCATTGATGGATTCACACGTTCGGTTCGTGTCCCACGTGACTCTGGAGCTAAAACGCAGCTAGAGTTTTGGCTCTCCACCGGTCTTCTGGACCACTGTGAAGCGCCTCATGAGTGCGAGAGAGACTAAGCGACAGCCTGCAGAAGTAATTTATTGACGCCCCCAGAGGGCCATGCCGCCGTGCCGCTGTGCCCTGCTAACTGGACGGGTTAACCTTCCTGATTGGCAGACTCAGATCACACTTCAAGGGCGAGGGTGGAGCCCTTGGCGCCAATTAGTAACCGGACCGGCCCTTGGAACTCGACGCACGCGTGGCGCCCTACGCCCTGCCCTACGCCCTGCCGGCCCTGCGCACTGCACTGTAGAACGGAACGCCGCCCCGATCCGCCGCAACAATGACAAGTTCGACTGCATTCTGCTTGCGGAGCGATTTGACTCACAAACCAACGCACGCGCGTTCTATCTGTCTGTCTGTCTGTGTATGACTGTCTGTCTGTAAGTGCACACAAAAAATAGTTTCTCGAACTAAGGTATACTTGCATCAAGTGAATTTACTGGAATGTTTTATGGCACGCGCGCGCGCGTTGCAAGTAAATTTTCTTGGATTTAAAAGCGACTTTTAAGGGTGTGTCTGTCTGTCTGTCTGTCTGTCTGTCTGTCTGTCTGTCTGTCTGTCTGCCTGTCTGTCTGCGGCTGTCTCTCTGTGTGTCAATGAGACTCTCCTCCTGTTCCCGCTTCGTTTTCGCAGTCTGGCCCTGCGCATAGCGTGCTGCGTCTGATGCGGGCAGTATTGGCAGACACGATGGGGTCTGGCCGGCATGGGGGTTGCAGAGAGCATGCAGACAGCCCACACACCGACCAACCTACTCCCGCTCTGCTCAAAATTCCACTGAATCTATTATTTTCACGCGTGCAGTTGTTGCTCTTTTTTCGCGGGGCGTTCGCGGACGGAAACGAAAAAAAAAGTTGGTACTTGTCAGGCAATTTGCTCGCAGTGATGCGCGCCCGGCGCCTCGGTGCAGCGCCGTCTGCCTGCCCGCGCAAGTCTGTCTGTCTGTCTGTCTGTCTGTCTGTCTGTCTGTCCGTCTGTCTGTCTGTCTGTCTGCCTGTTTGTCTGTGTGGTTTGAGGACTCCTTCCCACGGCAAGCGGTATGTTGGCTGCAGCGCTGCAACGATAGAAACAATTTCCACGTGTTTCTCCGACTGGCTGCCCCGTGCCTGCCCCCCACGGTTGACTCATCTAGGTCCTCCACGGCGTCCACGGCGCGTCCCCGGAGCAATATTTGTGTCCCTGGAGGACGTCGTGAGAACGCCGCCACTGGGACCGACTGGGACCCACCGGGATCGGGTCAGGATCGGCGGGGGTGGGGGAGCCAACACCAACGCCCCCATAGGCCCGGCCAGGTCTCGGCCCCCATGTGCGTGTGACTCACGCTTCGACACAACCGACCCCGACTTGCAAAGAAAACCCGAAAAAAATCGGCTGCGAATGATTGAAATTGCGTTATAGGGTGTCTCGAGGCAGCGGTCAGTCACTGTTTTCCGCAGTGTGGAGCCACTGGGGTGTAAAACCACCAACACATCTCCTCACGCCGCGTCGCTCCGCGCGCCGCGTGCGCGATCCAACGCACGCTGATAGCACGCAGCCAGCGCTAATAGTCACACACCAGCAGCAGCCAAAATACGCAGCCACTTGTTTAAAATTTTCTAAATGTTTTCAATTTTTTAGTAATTTTTTTTGTAATGGAAAGGGAATTCTTGGCGCTGTCTCTGAGCCACCCAGAGAGTGTTTCCGCCGGCCTTCGGCGCCAGTGCGTCGCCGCCCCGCCTCTCGCGGGCCCCCTCTGCCCCCTCCGCCCCTCATGGGGCCCCTTTGAGTACTGCCGCCAGCCAGGTACCGGGAGTACCAGGTACCGAGCGGAGAGTACCCCAATGTCAAAACGATCGCTGTGCCATTGGCACCGCATCGTTCGGGTCCCCGGAAATCCTAACCTGCTCATCTGATCCCTCCCTCAGCTTAGATCTGCTTTATCTTTTCATTGAGACCCTTCTTCCCTCTGACTGGCCCTCTGATACTTCGTTCTGATCCTCTCCCCCTGACCCTTCCCTTCTGATCCTCGCCCTCGGACACTTTCCTTCTGACCCTCCTCCTCTGACACTTCCCTTCTGAACCTCTCCCTCTTATCCTTCCCTTCTGATCCTCGCCTTCTGACCCTTCCCTTCTGATCCTCTTTCTCTGAGCCTCCTTTTGTGATTCTTCCACTGCTTTCCATACTGCACCTGTAAATTTCTCATCCTCTCCCTGTGGATCCCTCCCTGCGATGCTAACAGGCGCTATGCTAAAGCACGTTCACTGTGACGTGACGTAAGTACGGCTTGCCTTTTGTGTGTGCTGCTGGTTGCATTTGCGTTGCACTTTGCTGCAGCGGACCGGTTTGCGCCTCCGGTGCGTTTCCGTGCGAACTAGCCAGTGAATGAAGGACTACTTGTACGAGTGCTCTAAAGTTGCAGATAGGTGTGTGTCTGTGTGTAAGTGTGTTTTTGTGTGAGTGTGCGCGCACTCCGACACACTCACTCTCACACACACACACTACACGCGAGCGTCCGTTACTTGCATTCTTTTCGGACCCACTCTTGGACCACAGAGAGGCCGCCTTCAATATCTAATTGCCCAGCACGCGCGTGACACGTGCGTGTGATGTGTGTGCATGTGTGTGTGTGTGTGTGTGTGTTCGTCGATACCTTTTAATCGTCCGACTCCCCTAGCCGCGGCCTAGCCGTCAACCCGTTGTCGCTTGAATATTCATAAAC